ATCATCATCCACACTCATGTGCTATCAACTCGTATATATGTTTATTTTTATGATAAATTATCGACATCCGTCTTTCTATTGTATCATTTTTGTACTAGGTGTTTTTACAAAAACGAAAAACAAAAAAAAAAAAAAAAATGTTTCTAATCCTTTGCTTTTAACCGTCGTATAAATCTCTTCGTATCGGCATGTGAAACATTGATATTCCTTCGCCGTTTCGAGTCCAGTGAAGTGAATTATTTATTATGCTCAACTTTTCTGTTTTCATTCCTTTCCTGCTAAACCATACCGGCCGACCGTCAACAGCGGACGTATAAAATATATGTTTAGTATACACACTGATTACGTCACAATACGCCGTGCGCAATGTATTATAATCGTTGTCGCACTGCAGCAAGCAAGTTGATTAAAGCAGTTGATTAAAATTTGTCGTTTGTCTAAAAAATATCCGTCAGAACCATCTCCGAGTGAATGCGTAGTACGTTTTTAATCCTAGTGTAGAAAAAAATCAATCGGAGTTATCCAATCGAATTGATGATCGTCTTTTTATAATTTTTTTTTTTTATTATTATCGTCAACAAGTTTTCCTGATTTAATGATTTTATTCAACCAAACTTATGTATAAGTATACAAATTTACAATTTTCAACGTTGGTACCACATATATCAGTAGTTGTGTAGATATATTGCTAGATTTTTAAATTATTTTAACAAATATTTACAAAATTTAAAAAAAAATAACTAATTAAAAACACGAAAAATCATATGGTATGATGTAATGGATCACGTAAATTTTTTATTTTTAAGTTTGTTTTGATTTTACGCGTGATTGGCTTTTTCATTAATATAGTTTCGTGTGGAACTTTGCGCATGCGCGACGCGATTTTTTCATGTTTACTCAGGTACCGACTAGCTTAAAAGTGAAGCATTAAATAACACTCTTGTTTACGGATCAAGCGGGATATTATGTAATCAAAAAAAAAAAAAACCGCGTAATTATACGATTATTATTGTTATACATATATATATATATACATAAAAAAAACCTATATATTTGCTTAGACGTAAATAAACCATAGCTGGTGCACACAAATCGCGTCTCGAATTCCTTTTTACAACACGAATAGCGTCCCTGGGTTTCAATTATTTATTTACACGAATTGCGCCACAAAGTAAAAATATTAATTTCCTTCATATTTTCCACGGATACATAGAACTGTCGATAACAAATTATTGCTAACGGTAAGTTAAAATATTGTTTCTTGTCGTTTTTATGCGATTTTAGAATTATGTAAATTAGGTTACATCGAATTATGAACATAATTATATTAAAAAATTAAAAATTTAATTGAGATCTAAAAAAATTATAAGATTAGTGGAAACTTGAACAATAGCTTTTCAATAAAATCAAGACGAGTTAATTGGCCATTTCCATATCTATCATGGTTTATCATATAAAGCCGAATGGGATTCACGTATAGGATATACATATATACATAAATATATACAGGATTATTCACGTATTCACACAGATTTTTTTATAGTACCGTATAATATATTGTGTTACCTCCAATGTTTTATGCGATAACATGTTGAACGAATAACCTTTTTATCATTTATTATTGTTAGATAATCGATATGGACACTTGTTTATGTGAAAAAACTTGAGTACCTATATCACTGATTTATTATTATTTTGATTGGTTTTCCTTAATCTTCTCCACGTCTTTAACCATTGACGTGTATCAGTGACGTATCGATTGGGTGGGCCTTTACTTAAATAAAACTTTCTAGTGGTATTGAATAAAGTTTTTATTTACACAACAACCGCTTAACACTCATTAAAAATTTTATCGTTTAATGTGAATCCTATATAGAAGAAGTAGTCTGTTTTTTGTTTTTTTATTTATTTATTTACGGGTAATAACCCAATTACATAAGGATTGAAATTAGTACATAATACATATAGGTATGGTAAAACATTTGATAGGTAAATAACATTTGAAAAAATAAATTAATGAATAACTAAGATACTTAATATTCTAATAATACAAAAAACACAGAAATATAGTAAAAATAACAATTGGACAAAATACTTAAAATACGAAAACTCAATACAGTACAACTCAAAAATTAATATCAGAAATAAATCTAAACAATTTTTTTTCTTACAAAACTATTGAAAAAATCGACAGAATTTGGACTGAAATTAAAAAAATCAATTTGTTCATCATTAGCGATAGCCATCATTCTATTTATAGGAGCGGATAACGCATAATTAGTTTTGTGATTATTTATATAAAAAGTACTTATGATTGATGATCTAGTTCTGACTTGAGGAACAGAAAAATTTAAAAAACTTAATAGCTCCGGACAGAAGAAAAAACCGTTTAGCAGTTTGAACAAAAATAATAGATCATTTACCTTTCTTCTGTTTGCTAAGCTCTGGATGTTAAATGTGTTCAACAAAGGTTGATAAGATGAGTGAGGTACACGTATAATATTACATTTATAGGACATAAAACGGAGAAAGCGATTTTGGACATTCTCAATGCATTGAATTTGCGTGTTTAAATAAGGAGACCAAACTGTTGAATTATATTCAAGCTTAGATCTAACTAAGGACATAAATAGAATTTTTAATGTGTTATGGTTATTGAAGTCTTTACAGTTTCTCGTAATAAAGCCTAATATCGAAGATGATTTATTGATAATATGTTGAATGTGGTGATTAAAGGTTAAATTAGACTCGAATATGACACCAAGATCACAAAATTCATTTACACGATGTAAATGGTGGTTACGTAAACTATAAGTGTGAAGAATTGGATTACGAGATCGCGTGAAGGACATAACTTTGCATTTTTCGAAGTTTAAAGGTAATTTATTAATATCACACCAATTAGCTAAAAAACTTAAATCATCTTGTAATAAAGATGTATCATTACTGTTTTTTATGAGACGGAACAATTTCATATCGTCGGCGAATAGTAATTTTCTAGAATAAAACAAATTTAAATCATTTATAAATAATAGAAATAGAATTGGAGCAAGGTGAGAACCTTGAGGAACACCAGATGATACAGTAAAAGGAATCGATTTAAAGTTTTTACACTTGACTATTTGTTTTCTATCGGAAATATAAGAATAAATCCAAGAAAGAAAGGGGTCATTCATACCAATAGTACGGAGTTTAGAGATAAGAATTTGGTGATCGACTTTATCAAAGGCTTTAGAGAAATCTGTAAAAATAACATCAACTTGAAAACCTTGAGAAAAGGCATCAAGTATAAATTTCTGAAAAATTAACTGATTTGTGGCTGTTGATCTATCTTTAATAAAACCATGTTGATCCAAACTTATTAAAGGTAAGAGAAGTGGTGTAATCTTTTTTGAAATCATTGACTCGAAAATCTTAGGTATAATTGAAATTAATGAGATAGGCCTATAATTTATTATATTAGTAACATCATTGCCTTTAAAAATAGGTGTAATAAAACTTGATTTCCAAGCGGAAGGAAAACAACCCGTTGATAATGACAAATTATAAAGGTATAATAAAGGGACACTTAATACAAATTTACAATTAGAAAAGAAAATACTCGGAATCATGTCAATGCCAGGATTAGTTTTTGAACTCAACGTATCTAACTCCTGGAGAACATCAGTAAGATTTAAGACACACGAAAATAAATTAAGATTGGAGTAATTGGTGGTAGAATCAGATGATGAGTGATTGATTAACGGTGGTGTAATTGAGTTGACATAAACACTAGAAAAATGCTTAGAAAAGCAGTCAACTATTTCATCACCTCCATTAATAGACTGATTTAAATAAAACATTGAGGTAGGAAAAGACTGAGAAGAGCGTTTGGATTTAATAAATCGCCAAAATTTTTTTGGGACAAGATAATAAAGAATTTTCAGTTTCTGAAATGTATTTATTATAATCAATTTTAGATTGGGCCCTACATTTAGATCTAAGTGCAGAGAATATATTATAATTTAATTGTGTAGGAGATGTTTTATATAATTTGTGTGCTATTTTTTTTTTAAAAACCAAGTCCCTCAGTACAGGACTAAACCAAGTGGGATGTTTAGAAGTGAAAAGTTTTTTTTTAAGACAATTTTCATCAATTATTTTAAATATAATTGTATAGAAAATATCAACTGCATTGTTTATGCACAATTTATCAAAAACTTGAGACCAATCTATAATCGCTAATGATGAACGTATAACATTATAATTACAGTTGAAAAAATCATATACAATTTCATTATAACTTAATGATTCTAGATTTACATTGGTTGGGAGTGTGACAGTTAATGCAGGGTGATACATATAATCTATCGGTAACAAAGAAAATGGCTCGTTACGAACTACTAAATTATGAGCGTTAGATAAAACTAAGTCGAGAATTGAATCTGATCGATTTTTAACAAGATTGAACTGATTAAGATTAAGGTAAGAGAAATTAGCCAGGTTATTGGCAATTAAATTATTAAATTGAGAAACATTAGGGACAATTTTATTATTTAATAACGACCAGTGAATACCCGGTAGATTATAGTCACCCAATAGAATAACATTTGAGTAATGCGAAAGATTTAACAAATTGCTTACAGTATCAGTATGGTCATTATAAATATCAACACTTGAATTAGGAGGAATATATACCGATCCAATTAATAGAGTGAAAGAACCCATAGAAAGTTTGATAAATAATTGCTCGATGTTGTTGTTTTGAAGTGGAATACGATTACATTGAAGGTGATTCTTGATCGCAATTAACACACCACCTCCTCTGATAATGCAGCCCATGACACTATCACGGTCGCAACGAAAAACTGTGTATTTTGGGATAATACCAAGTTCAATGTCATTGACCTCATTATGAAGCCAGGTTTCTGTTAGTATTATGATGTCATAGTCCACCAGAGCAATATTTCTATTAAAAACATCAAGTTTAGTGTTTATGCCACGAATATTTTGATAGTAAAACTTGAGATTGTAGGAACTTGGTCTTAGTTTCGGCAGTTTTTTGAAATGAACGGAATGTTATTATTGAATTTGATAAATATATCATTTTCACCAGCAGCTTTTCTGGTGTTAAGCTCATCTAACACAACTTTGAAATATTTACGTTGCCCTAAAGATCGATCTGTAGATATACTGATGTGTTTTAAATTTTCAGATTGACGTAACTTAAATTTGTTTTTTAATACGTTAAAAATATCATGTTGATTTGGTAGTGTAACACGGATAGGCCGAGCATTATTAGAAATTTTACCAAGACGGAGAACATTTAATGGAACAGTGGTAACACCAATTTGACGGAATAACTCAGAAACTACTTGAATTTCGTTTAGAGAATCAGTTGTGTTTTCATGAACGTTAAATAAAATTAAATTACGGCTTCTAGCTTGGCGGTCTATAATTTCAGATAAGATTTCTTCATGATTGACTGACGGTGGAGTAGAGTTTCGTGCTTCAAGTACAACCAACTTAGAACTAATAATTTCAATTTGATTTTTAAGAGCTTTGTTCTCATTAAGCAAGTCATTGAAATGCTTGGTAATAATATCTAATTTACCTTCAATATCAGTGAATTTTTTGTCGTGGTTTTTCTTCTCATCACGGTAAGCATTGAATGAAGTAATTAGTTTGCTTTGAGTAGATTTCATGTCATTTACAACTTTAAATAATTTGTCCAATTTATCATTGATAGTAGAAGTATTTTCTGCAGTATTTGAGGCATTTTCATCTGTAGTATTCATATTACAACACGCAGGTAGGAATATAAAATTAATAAGAAAAATATAACGATAACGTAACAAAAACGAGTAGAACGAAGAAAAAGATTAACACGACACGCACCGTCAAAGGTCGAATTACGACTGTGTTTATTGAATAGGTCTTTTTTTGTTGAGCTATATCTAGATAAAGCTTTAAAATCAAATTTGAAAATCAACAGTTTTATGTATTTGTAAACTAAATTTTATACTATTAATACAATCATATACGAGTCTATGACTAGACAGTTAAGATTAAAAATTATGTAATTCTTATATTATGAAATTAATTTAGCTAAAAACAAAAAAATTGGTATTTGTATTTCCCGTAGAAGAAATAGTTCTGGGGCTATAAAGAAAATTATTTGGATCATTCCTGCTTAACAACATTATGTTGTACCTTATCACGAGAAAAAAAAATAAAATTCGGTTTTAGCCCGTGTTAACCGAAACCCTCAAAAAAATCTAATCCAGTTTTATAATTATAATAATTTATATTATTTATTAATTTTAAAACAAGTATATTAACAAGCATAAAATAACAAAAACAGATTTCAGTTGGATCACCTCCAAGCCATGGCTGTGCAGGAAGTAAGATATCATAGATTTACAAAATATTTTATAAATATAAAAGGATATAATAAGAAAAGAAAATTATATTTACATAATATATATAATTAACTAACATTGTTAAGGTTAAGAATAATTATAAATAATTTATAATGTTACTTAAAAAATTTGTTATCATATAACATATGAATTATACGCAAATCTCGTTTAAATCAAAAGACATAAGTTTTATTTTCACTTGTTTAAAATCAAAAAACCAAATAATGAATATATATTTTATGTATAATACAAAAATCAGTAAATACAAAATATGGATCCGATTGTCAGAATACAGTTCCAAATTTAATTAACATTAACATTAATATTTTTAACAAATCAAAACAACAGGAAAACATATGCATTGTACGAAGTGACGTAAATTTAAAATTTTACATTGATTATATAAATTATCAGTTAAAAAGGCTTAGGGAAGCTCTCATTTATCGAATATATATTTTGCAAGACAATTTAATGTACTATGTAATTTTTTAATTCGAGTATGAAAAGCGTTACCCCAAAACGCAATACCTCGAGGCACTATTTATTTCACTAGATATTTATTAACTGTTGTTTTAACTTTAATGGATAAAATATTTCTCAAACATTTAAATACATCAGACAATTTTCGAAACGACGTTGTTATTCTCGTATATTTGTTTTTAATCATGTAGTGTTTGCTGTTCAATAAACGTCTAGCGCAGCAAACGATAATATTTCAGCACACAGTTTACGACTGTCCATCGAAAAAGCATTCGGGAGGAGATCCGATTCCCGAAATGATTAAAACAAAGCACTGGTTTAGCGGAGTGAACCGGGAAGCTCCGATGTGTATTCCGAAACCGTGTGCAGCGGCGCGTGCATGTTCCGAACGACTATAAGTGCGCGATTTTCTCTAAATGATACACTCGCGTGTTGCAGTATAAATCTGTATCTTTCTGGTGGACTCGCAAAACGAAGTGCGTGCAGTTTTCTATTTTTCTTTTTTTTTTCACTCCCTTGCCTATTGTTTCTTTTCCGTTCGGGTAAAACGCGTTTCGCCCGAAAGAGGATCGGCGAGCGGAAAAACCGTGGACAAAATAACGGCACGGCGAAGAAATGCCCAACGAAGTGTAAGATATGCCTCTCGGTCAGTCCGGAGCGTAGGCGCAACTAGGAGGGGCGCAACAGGGTTTTAACAACCCTGAGTTCAAATGCAGCATTCCTGTTTTTTTTTTTTTTTTTTCACAACCATATAATCTATAATAATTACACTTAAACATAATTTTATTTTATTTTCAGCATATTTAGCATCCACAACATTTGAACTCTAGTTGCGCCCATGGTCCAGAGTCCGATTACGCGTAGGAACGCCGTTTCGGTCTTCGACCCGATCGATCGCGATAGGAAACGGATGGCCTGGGCGTTCGCGAACTGGGAAAATGACGGTCAGGTCGCGAAACTGGTTCCGAAGGAGTTTTCGAAACGATATCCTTCTTCCGGAGCGCGTCGCAGGCCGTGAAATCAATGTTTCGAAACGATCGTGACCCGATATTGTATGTATATTGTGTATCGATGCATCGCGCGTGCGTGCTCCTCGTTGCTGCCGGGTGTTTACCATAATTATGCGTCGAACACAATATAAAATATATTTGGGAAATGTACAACAAACGTGGATGACGTTCTAACGGAATATAGAACACTGTTCACGCGACGGCGCGCGGAAAAACGAAAGGAAGAAAGAATAGAAGCACGTGGAAAGAGAGTGAAAAAAATAAGCCAAAAAATAAAAGTCCAAGAACGAATTTGTGTTCCGAATGAAATGCGTTTCAGGTGAATTCCTTTTTTCCATTGTCTACTTCAGCAGTTATTTCATTTGATTTTAAATCTTGGTTTATCTAAATGGAGGAAGAGCGACGGCGACGGACCGGGTACTAAATGCATGGCTCGTATTTTGTATTCTTTATTGGATTCGTCGCGAGATTAACATATTTATCATCGAACGCGTGTTCGAACGAAACGCATTCGAAAATCAAACGGTCACCGTTCGACGGGGTTCGCAGGGACGACTGTGTTCTCGACTGTGTGCGCAAAACAATAATAAAAATAATAATGTTATGCGTACGTGTTGCGATGACGGTATTGTAACCAATATTTGAGCAGAGACGCGTTGTTCATCCCCGAAACATCGTATTATATTACGCATGCTTATAGCGTGACGAAAAAAAAATAAAAATAAAAAAATAGTAGCAACACCGCCAAAGGTGCACGGAATCATATTATTTTATTCTGTGTGTGTGTGCGTGTTATGACGAGGACAGTTGGCTTAAGATGTGAAAGTTTTCGAAACAAAATTAACAAAGGGGAAAGAAAAAAATTAATTAATTGCGATTTCACCGCCATTCTGACTAAGAGGATTTTGGCTTCCGACCGCCGAAAACTATAAAACGCTACTTATTGCCAACTCTGAGAAACGTGGCAAAGGTAATGAGCATAACAAATGGTTATTTTTAAGAGCGACCGTTGGTTCGCCTACATAATCTTTTTGAAATGTACCAAGTCGATAGAAGTTTATATATACATACACACGAGAAAAAATATATATTTATATACACGTATAAATATGCCAGAAAATAATAGAAATTTATATAAACATTTTAATCGATGCAAAACCTACCAGTTTGCTGTTAAAAAAACGAATTCGAAACAAGACGGATGACGATGCGAATGTATACCGGCCGTCCGAGCCACGAACTCGTCAGGTTTTCGTTTTAGATTTTTTCTCTCCTATGACTGTCATCTCCTATTGCATGGGAATCGCTCTGAAACTTAATCAGGTGTAGTCTAGAATAGAAGAAATCACCAGGATTTCGTATAGGATAATAATTAATAAAAGGGGAAAAATGGACAGTTGATCAGTAATTTTCGTAGTTATCCGTAACAAAAGAATGGACCTATAATTTGACAGCGTCAGATAATAAATTATATCATGCCGAGAAAGTATAAATAATTATAGCGTTGTGTTTCACCCCTAGCACCATTATTCCAGGAGGTTATTATAAAAACTAACGGAACGGACGACGGATTTTTATTGAAAAACCTATTGCTATCAAAAGGAATCAAGAATATTAATAGCGTTGATTGCAATTAACGTTCGTACACATTAAACAACTTGTTCGTGATTCAAAAAAATCCATACTGTTTACGTTCAATACGGTTTCCAACATTTTTTTTATCGCAGATTTTGAAACTTTTAATATAATTTTTCATAAAAAAACATACGTATTCTTACACGTGTAAAAAATCAAGCTTTTCTTATTAAAACTACATAAAAATAAATTATCATAAGATGAACGATTTTAATTCACAACAGTTAAATTGAATAAGTGCAGTTATCGTTTATATTTTATTAAATATAGTTATGAATAGTTTGACGGTTGATGCTGTACTAAACGAACAATATCAAAAAAATATAAAAATATAAAAAAATCATTAATATCAAAAAATCCGTATGTTATTGAACGTGATAACAATGAAAACTTAATAGGCAAATGTCTTGATCTATAAAATGTCTAATTACCACTATTTTTACGTGAACCGCTCATTCGGTTCGGAGCCGCTGATCTAAGGGCGTCCACTGACATTATCTTTGTACTGCATAAGGTGTACTAATTAAATCCTAAACGTTACAGAACAAATGAATAAAACAACACTGCAAAGAATAGCTGGCAGGGAATGACAACAATCGTAAAGCTTTGAAATAAAAAAAAAAAAAGTTCGTTTAAAAGTATGCATCAAAAATTATAAAAATCCTTTTCAAGATCGATACCTATAACAGTATATGAGCATATGGATTTTAAAACGTATTAACCGAATGACGACGAATAATGATCTAATTAACATAATATGATTGTAATTATTGAATAAATACTGAAAAAAATAATTTTTTAATCGAATACATTGGTTATGTTTATCGAAAAAATGGAGATTATAAATTAATTGTACGCAATTGAAAATGTGGATTGATTGCATCAAATAGAAATCATCATTAAGAGGTAGAATTACTAAAAAAAAAAGATACCAAAGATTCATAATGTACGTCACAATGTTACGGCTCAGCAAAACTAGAGGTATAAATTTCAGCGCAACAGACGAATAAACACCAATAGTTTTGCATATACGCATTCTCAAAGCAATCAAAATCGAATTACTGCAGATAGAATAACTTGATACGCTAAGTCTAGTTCTATTTGTGATATTTCAATATGCACCGGGTGGGACCCGTAAAAATAATAATCGGAGACAAGAAAAAATGAATAATAATTGCTTACCGCCAAAGCAACAGTCTGAATCGATTTAGACGCGATTCCTGAGTACGGTGATGTGTTATTGTTGTTTATTAATGCGTTATAAAATTATTTCAAATTCCTCACGATATTCGATACCTATATTAGTAAAATACTCATATAAGATAAAATATGAGTGTTATCTATGTAAATCCAAAAACTGGTCAAA